AATATTCATACCGTCTTTAACTGGCAGAAAAAAAATATTTATGTGCTGAACATTTAGCATAAAAAACATGACCTACATTATGTTCCAGCAGTCTTCTACTTACAATGTTTATTTTATATTGTAATCTTGAAATATTCCCCTTTGGGCCTGATATGGTTTTTCACTCAAACACATACTGGGATATTTATAGAGTTAGTACAGTTTACAAAGCCGCACAGTCTGGAAATTGAATATGTCAAACTGACACTCAGCACTAACAGCAGCACACACCTGAGCAACCTCTGTGCCCCTCAATCACGTTCTTATCATTAGTTCCTCATCTGCGCACATTCACGCCAGAAGTCACTCCTCATTATGCAAGCGGTGTAGAGCTGGACAGAGTCTACTGCTCTCTGGAAAATAGTCCACCTGTCAATCTGTCTGTCCCGCCTGCCTTACCTGACTCCATGGAGGAGGCTCTGTCCTCTTCTCAGTGGCTCTCTCTGCTGATAATCTGTGACAGAGGCGAGGTTTAGACAGGTGTAACCATCTCTAATGGTGGTGTCAGTCAGAAAGCAGCCTAGCTGCTGCACAGTGGCGACAGGATCCATCCAACATTGTGGAGGTGCGCGTATAGATTTTTTTCCTTTCCCATTGCCTACAATATTAAAAAGTTGTCTTATATTGTGTGGTTGCTTGATGTATACGTAACTTGATAAGAAAACTCAGAAGAAGGCCACAAGATTTTTCTAATTTCTTGCCCATATGGGATGGACTGCTCCACTCCCTGATGGATTATAACCACGGCAGCTGATGTCTTCATTTATAAAACAAGCAACAAGGAATGACGATGGTGGAGTAATATTGCTCATATGAGTATCACCTAATCCTCCTCCATGCTACGCCCATACTGACTATTCTCCCTTTAGCCGTTTACAGTGTCACAAGCGGTGCTCTAATTAACACTTTGTCCCTACACGATTGTTGGAAGCATTGATTACAGGAATTATTAGTGAGCGCCGGGATGGATCATTGATTGGGATATGACTTGCAAATTCTCTGCGAAGCGGAGCGTAATTCCTAGCGACGAGCACCCTCGTTTATACTCATTTATATTCTTACTTGTGCACCACTTTGATTTCATCATTTGTTATCGCCCTGCGTTTAGACACCGCCGAAGTTAAAAATGGCTGCTTGCCTAGACTTCCTCTAGTGCTGGGTCTTAATAGGCTGTCGTGGGAATAGGAGGAGAGATTGATTCTCCTGATGATTTCATTAGATGACATCAAAGCGGGGAAATTGCAGCAGAGAGCAGGAATGCATCTTCGGTGAATGGGAAATAATGCCCTGTTTGAATTACACTGTAAGAACGTTGGCGGGGACATATGACCTTGTCAATGGAGATATTGTAATTGTGATGTTTTTCTCATCAGGGAAGTTTTCTTGGGGCATCACGCTGGGTAGATTATGATAATAAGGTATTTGGATTATGATGCAAGAGCAGGCACATTGGTTTTATAGCACCGCGGATCAGTGAAAGAATCAATATCTGTAAAGAGTTTTTGCATTCATAGTATGTCTGAGTCACTGCAGGTATCCAATCAGCCAGGTGCCCAGGGAAAGAGTTGCTATGTGCAGTGTTCTCCTTTTGAATACGAATAAATTACAAGGATAATTTTCCGTTTTCATGATGAGGATGAAGCTGTTGTTGGGCAAATTTTGAAAAAACACCAACAGGTAGCATGACTAGGCTAAAGCTGAATATCAGTTGGCTGGAAAGTTGATGTTTGCTTGAAAGAGGAGGCTTGAGGTACATATGCTCCCAGGCATAATTACTCTCATGTTGCATTTAGATTCAAATATTTTATAGACAATAGATCCTCATGTCTAACCAGAGATGGGGAGAGGATGAAAAAAATCCCTTTGATCAGTTCCCATAACAGACCATATTATTTTAAAGCGGGCTGCAGATGTTGAAATGTTAACATCAGACGAACTACAGCACGGGTCAGTTAAACTCACAGCCAGTTCATAAAGAAAACAAGAACTCACAATACAAGTTGTCATTTTCTGCCATTGCATCGACAGATAGGATCTTAGCATTCCCCCATCTGGCAAATTCCCCATTAATCTTAGCATAGACTGTATATGTATGATGGGAATAATCACTGTGACTTAGGCCTCACTCAGTAGCAACTCGTCAATGAGAAAACAGCCTGCTTAATGTTTATTTTAGTCCAACTGTTTCTATAATTTCAAAGTGACCCAATATTAGCATTAAGACCATAAACACATTTGGAAACATTTACCAAGGATATGTCATTCAGTCACGCACTTCTGCACACTGGAGCGTCTTCTTGCATACAGTGGAGTCATCACCTGGTGGCCATTAGAAAGAATGCAAGTTTAAGATCTGCACTGACTTCAGTATTCATTATATATTTATTGCTCAGGAACATAGAAGCAAGATTTTTAAAAAATGCTAGATATCAACAGCCTTGAAAACTGTATGTAGCAATAGTAAGAAAAGTTAAATAACTCTCAAAGGCTGGAAGCTTGTTAACTAATTGCTACTTTCATTCCTATAGTACTGTGTAGGACAACTATATTATAACTGCAAGTAAGGCAATGAGAGTAATTATGGGCTTGTTTGTTTCATTGACCAGTTAATCATTATATTAAGTAAGATACAAAGTCAAAAAATGAAATCATGGTCATCCAAATTACGGAAGATATACAAAATCAGGCCTCTTCAGCATTCATTTGCCCATGTGTCTGTTAAAATCAGGGTTGGCATGCAACAAGTCAGTCTAACAGCCAATCACAACTAGCCAAAATAAAGCGAAAACCAAAAGAAAAAGCCCAATACCAGTAGAGTTGGCAACTTTAATTAGGAGTTTGTTAGGATTTGAGTATACAGATTGGAAGGTGCTAAGAGTTTCACTGGGAGTGAGCTGGAGACAAAGTTAAAGAGTCAAGACTGAGGTGTTTTGGACATGTGCAGAAGAGGAGCTGCCAGGCAGGAGGAAAATAGAAAGACCATAGAGAAAGTTCATGGATGCAATGAAGGAGGACATGCAGATAGTGAGGCAGATGATCCACCTAACAAGACAAGCTGAAAGAAGAAGAGAAGGGCATACATTTTAATTCTACCCTATTTAACCCACTCTTCTAGGAAAACTACAGATCTGGCACCCCTGGCAGGAATGGAGGTCAATTTTTAATATCTTTTCAGCTCTTGGAGCTCAGTACCTGGGACTGCTGCCTCACTTGCTTTAGTTGGGAACCCTTGGACGTGCGATAGTAGCAGCTGAAAAACAAAAAGGTCTGTGATACTGTTAAGGTTATATCTCAGAGATGAATCTGTTCCACAGTTATCATAACGCGTAACATAACATAGAATTTGTATTATTAACAAATAACAGTGTAATGACTATCCAATGCATCAGATCTGATTAAGGGATAAAGCTAATAATTACGAGAAGACAGAGGTCATACCAAGAACAAACAAACTGTTTGCTCATTTTACGTTAGTATGGTTTCCACAGTCTCATCAGAACGAATACCATCAACGTAAAAGCTCCTTGCACTATCTGCATCCATGAGAGCACGTCCCTGTACCTTTTAACCCTGCCTCTGATCCTATTAAAGCTGGATCCTTATCACCTTTATCAGGTTTGGAATGGATGGGTGCTTAACTGCATTTGTGCACAGTGGTAAGAGCTGACCAGGCTGATGTTGCATTAATCCACAAACAAGGTTACCACCTTGAGAGGAGGGCTGACCATTGATTAGAGAATTAAATCATCAGATTTTATCATCAGTGTCTTAATTGCGGATGTGACACCGAAGCAACACGCCGAGACCGCTTAACTCTGAACTATATTTGACCGACAGCACCAGCATATAACCTCTGACTGCAGGTACAGGAACAGATGGGGCTCAACCTTTCCATAGCACAACAGTGCCATCTAGAAGGCTAAAAGTGGGAATGGGTTTTTAAAGAGTCTGAACAGCCCTGTTCACATGAAATATTCCTCCAGCAACCAAACAAATACATGCAAATGATGGATCCAGAAAGGAGCGTAATGCTGCTTTACAGCAGGAGGATTGTACAAACAGTCACATATTATCCAGCACTGTGTGCTGACAGCCAGGCACGTTTCCCCACTAGACATGTACCAAACAGGAAAAGAACAGGAAGTACAACAAGGAGGTCCACCACAAAACCCTGGCTGTGTGTCCAGGAAATGCCATTGTTGCTGCACGCTTTCACAACAGAGATCTCTTCCCTGCCTGTGTACTTCAAATATGGTCCATGGCAGTGTTTCTCCCATGAAGTAATACGTAATTAAGGCATTAATAGTGGAATTAATTTATTGCACAGTATACACAGTGACGCATTGTTTTGTATCTTCTCGGCACATAAAAAACGTCAGCGGAAAAAGGCGTTCAGTTGACGCCCAAGCGAAGGTTATTCTGGGTTAATTCCAAGGCCCGGGCTTTAGGACGTCCAACGCTAACGAGAGGGTGGACCTAGCAGAGAGGGAGGGAGGAGTAGGGTAAGAGCTCTCACACTGTTCCTAATAAAACGCAATGTCATCACGTTGTTAAATCCCGCCACGAAATTTGCAGATTATGTTTCCTGAGCTTAATGGCAAATTGTTTGCCTAAAAATTGGGAGAATCGTTACAAGTGCTAATTGCAATGAATCCAAGACCCCAAATTAGTTATCATCACTTTTCTTGTTATTTGAACAGCAGCTGTTACGTAAGACATAGCAGGAAATGTATATAAGCAGTGACAGTCGTTTCTCTCTTCTCTCTCTCTCTGTTTCTCACACACACACACACACACTCACACACACACACACACACACACACACACACACACACACACACACACACACACACCACACATATATGGTGGTGTGTGTGTGTGTGTGTGTTGGTGTGTGTGTGTGTGTGTGTGTGTGTGTATTTTATCGTTCATTGTTTTGTTTAAACGATAGGAACAATATTTTTTGACTTAAATAGACGATCTTCGTCCTGGAGTAACCGCATTGGCCAATAACACCATTGAGGGGCGGGGATTTCCGGCAGTCTCGTGTCTTCATGGTTCATAGTGGGCGTTGAATAGCGTCTTCTTCTTCAGCTCATACTTCACGATAACGTTACCCAAGTTAAGCTACGTCAAACCGGGAAATTTATAGGTTTAGCCGGTCGACGAAGATGACGGAAAGTGCTACGAGTAAGCTGCTAAACGGGGACATTTGTCACCGGACCTCGAATGGTAAAAAGGCCAGTAAAAATGGCTTCGTGAAGGATCACTCTCTGTTTGAACAGCCACAGAAGTATCGCCGCCCCAGAGACAAGGTAAGGCCCAGCCGTCAACTGCTAGGGCGCATTCATATACAAACAGCTCTTCAGCATAGTTTGAATTAATCCTGTTAGTGTTAGCCTGTGAGCCGTTCGTTTGTATTACTTCTGTTTGTACTGTGGCCACATACTCCTGTGAGGGAGTGTGTTTCCACAGCAGGCATGTGAGTGTGAGTAGCTGCCATATGACTGTGACCTCACGAGTTAGCTGCTATATTAATGAAATTAGCCAAGACTGAAGTCTGGGCAGTTGGTTCACGTCTTTATTATTATTGTTATTATTTCATATTCCGTACGTTTGTTTTACGCTTTCTCCTTCAGCGCCATTCAGCATAGAAAAAAAAACTGTAAACCACCGTTAGATTCCTCTTCTTTTGGACATTACTGCTGGTATTTTCCCTCATTTCTAACTTTTATATTTTCAAATTATTCAACTTTATTCAACAAATATTTATAATGTATTTCAGTGGGGAGACTGTTCAAATCTTCTTTCAACTTACTCATCTTTCATCTCTAACTACTTCCACATACGTTGACCTACAGACACAAAGTTTGAATGGTGTCTGTGGTGTTCAAAGTTTGAGTTTAATGCTTTTTTTTTTTCACCCGTTTCAGAGTTTATAATGGGTGTCTATGGAATGTTGGCAATTACAGTGAGAAAAGCCAAATGCCAGAGTGGCATAGATCAAAAGATGCACCTTAAAATCTTCTCTTTCAACTGCTGCTGTGTCCACAGTTTGGTCTACAGTTATCAACAATGCATCTTTCAAAACTAACACATGTAAACTTTTTAAACTGTGGATGCAAGTGAAGGGAGTAACTTCTAACCAACCCATAGAGACATACTGTGTTGTATTTTTAGTTAGTTTGTCTCAACAGCAGGAAAGACTCCACTTTTTAAATTGCTCCTGTGGCCACATTTTTGACAGCAGGAGCATAACGAACACACTGTTGTGTGTCTGTAGTGGATTCTCCCCACATTTCAGTGATTTAAAGAATATGAACTTTCAATATTCATTCAGATGTTTTGTGATTCTAAATTTCTTTTGGTATTAGTCAGCTTTTTCTCATCTCAATTTTAAAGATGTTCAGCTACTTTCCAATTTTGAAACTACTTCTGTGTGAACTTTAGCTCTTAACTGTTCTACATTTTAGCCTTCAGGTGAATGATTCGGCCTATTTCAGCTCATTCAATATGACATTACATTTCAGCTCAAAACACTCAGCTATCAGCATTCACACTGCAGTTTCTTCAGGAAATGCATTCTCTGGTGATCTCATACAGTCTACACTTTTAGGCCTAATACTATAAACCTCAAGCTAGCTGTTTAAGTTAAAATTAACTTGTACTTACTTTTTATTTTTAAATAAGCATTTCTCTTTAACATATTCCAATCTAGAAAGTCACTACTGTGATTCTACCTTGTATTGGGTTTTACTGCGCTGTATAGGCTACATATACTTATGCTGTCAAGGGGAGCATGCCACCTGATCAGGCCTGACTGCAGTGGAGACTTTTTTCTGTAACTTTACACTCTGTTGTTTTTCACCTCTTGCGTGTATATTGCACCTGTGCCAGGTGAAATCAGACAGGCCTTTGTTTGCGCTGACCCCAGTATGAGACGACTGAGGTCCTGCGGAGTTATTACCACAGAAACTTATCAGTATCCTGGGAGAGAAGGACACCACTACTTTCACATGACACTTGAGCAGGAGAGGAATGTCTTCAGGCTGTGAAGGGTGGGGTCCTTCCCTTTCATTCCCAAGGCAGGAATGAAACCCACAAAAAGAAAAAAAAACCTCTTTTTGAAAGTGTGGTGTTTTTGTTTTTTTGTTTTTTTTGTGGTAGTGGAGGTCTGCCTTGTGTTTGTTTTTAGCTTGTTTAAATTAAACACAGAAGGGAGACAGCATTAATCCAACAGCATTCAGAATGCTGATTTCAACACTAATGCATTTACATTACTAGATCCAGATTTTGTGGCTATATTAACAGCTTAATCCTTAAAGATATATATAGATGCTCGTTTTAACATCGTCAAAGTTGCAAATAATGAAATGAATGTATGTGGCGGTAAAGGCTGTGAACCAAAAGATCAGTTTAGAAAAGTTTCTTTTTCCTACTCTTGCCTCTGTGTGAGTCACTGGTAGCGAATATGGTCATCTTAGGGACACGAGGCTGACTGCTGCCCTACCCACCTGCTCCTCAAACCTTCAGTTTATGAGGGCGGGGCCTGTAATGAGCTGGTTTAAGGCAAAAAGTAAAAGCTAATGGAGTCCCAAAAAAAAGAAACCTGGAGCTAGAAATGCGCACATTAGGACCTCTTTAATTTTATTTGGCAATGTCAAACTGGGTGATTGGCCTTGGTCATTGTTATACATGGTATTTACACTTAAACTGGAATTGCTGTAAATGGTGAAAAAGCGTTCTCCTGTGCCTGCTTTGATTGGGCACTCTGCTTGCTGTTGATAAGGCCTTGAATTTGTTGTTGCTTCCTGGTGAGACCTGTGTTTGATGGAGGAATAGGGCTGTTAATAATTTCTCTCTTTTAGCAGCACTGTTTTTTTGGGTTTTTTTTTTTTTTTTAACTGTTTCCTTCGGTCAGCTAGTTGAAATGAGTGTTCCCTGTCGATCGAGTGCAGTATTTAACACATTTTACAGTAAAGACTGGATTTCAGTGACGGATCAATAATCACGTATGACAAGTTTATCGAAAAATGGTTGGAAGAAGGATTTGAGCTTGCGGAGTGAAAGATCCTTTCAGCTGACAATTAGACATAATTTGTTGTGTCTGATGTGAACCGTACACCAAGAGCTGCTCTTATTATGTATACAGTGTAATATGATCTGCTGAACTGCAGAGGAAGCATGAGAAAGAGCAAACATAAAGGGTTGTTTTTTGGCTGTTTCTCTGGGTGCAGTTTCAGTGATGCTCGTCTATAAACAAATGGGACCTCTGGTGTAGTTTTTATTTTATTTTTAAACAGAGTAAATCTGAAGCCAGGCAAACTACATCTAGTCTTGTTGGCTGCCATCGGTATGCAACAGTCTGTTTGAACAGTGCACTTGAACAGGACTGTTTTGTGCTCACTGCTTTCAGAAAACATGGCTGCCCGAGTGCTATTCTCTCAGTGCTGTTTCAGTGAACCTTTACCTGTGTGTTTGGGTTTAGTTACACACCCTGTGCACACACATGCACGCTTCTCTCCTGGTCATAAGCTCAAAGGTGTTTCTCGGAGAGGCATGACTGGTCATATGCGATATGGCTGCTAAGCTGCAGGGCAGAGCAATGTAATGAGTAACTGCCCTCATCGGTTTACTGTTACCAAAAAAATCAAATAGCCAAGCTTTTTTATTATTAATTTTTTCAATGTTGTGCTGCTCCACCAATCTATGACCACATTTATATCACCTCACAATCCAAGATCAATATAACTATTCATAAAGCTCAGTGACTCAGAGCCATAGAGGGAATGGGCTGGGGGGGGGCTGCAGTGACACAGGAATGCCTCAGTGTCCACGAATATATGTGCTTATTGTGTAACTTTTAGCTTTCTGACAGTCTTTGCAAGACAAACTCAAACTCCAGCTTAAACCGGAGTGACCGCTGTGTTTTGGAGTTCTTGTATAGTAGTAGTAAGCGAACAGATCTGGCGAGATGCGGAAATGGTCTTAAATCTATATCTCACACTCAGATTGGCTGGTTGAATCTGCACAAAGATGTTTAAATTTCACTTGTTAATTGAAATTGAGATTCTAACCTCCTGTTTTGTTTTTTGCTGACTTCCAGAACCAAAATGTCCCCCATAATTACAGCTTGTACAAGAAACCATTTGTGGAATCCTTCGAGGAGACTCCTCTATGGGTTGCTGTGCTCACCTACATGGGCTACGGTATCCTCACCATCTTTGGCTACCTCAGAGACTTCCTTAGACACTGGGACATTGAAAAGTGCCATGTGGCCCGTGAGAGAGACGAGCAGAAGGTAATGAAGTGTATACTGAAGTTTTTCACATACAAGACAAATTCAGGGGACAAATTCCAAACAAGTCAAAATAATCTAGTCATCCTACTTTTATTGCAACATGTTTTATGTTTGAATTTTGGATATTTGATGTCCGAAAAGAGTTGGTGTTCATGTTATGTTGTTTTACGTCTGGTTCAGAGATTGCTCCTAATTTAAACTGTCAAGATTATGTTAGAAATCGTCTGCACTTTCTCGCTTTCTTTCTGCAGGATTTTGTCCCCCTCTATCAGGATTTTGAAAACTTTTACACCAGGAATTTGTACATGCGGATCCGAGACAACTGGAACCGCCCTATCTGCAGTGTTCCTGGTGCCAAGGTGGACTTGGTAGAGAGAGTAACTCACGACTACAACTGGACGTTTGAGTAAGTCGCTTGTTTTTTGTGTTGTTTTTGTGGTTCTTTGTCTCCATGTGTTTATTTTGAATAGAGGTGTTTCACACGAAGGTCATTACTCCCCTGAGAGGTGTGTGTGTCTGTTCCATTAACATGCACTTTAAGTCACTGACCTTGCAGTTCTGATAATGAGAGTGACGTAGTCTCTCTGAGGTGTGTATTTCTGTGTCACTGATTTACACTCACAGTTTACCGACCTTGTGTTTCTGATAGTGAGTGATGCAAGGCATGATTCACGTGGTTATGTTGAAA